TGAACAGTACACCTACAGAATATTTCTATCATTGTAGAATATTCTCCTGTAAAGAACTGACATAGATCTTGTTTTTACTGACTTGGAAAGACCTTAATGTCAGGAATTAGATATCCTGTCTCCAGCCCTTGGCTCCCTGGATTGCTATGTGACCATCAGAGGTTTGCTTTACTCTCTGATTTTTCACCCTATTGTCTCTAAAATAAAATTGTAGTGTCAAATCAGACCCTACCATTGTGTTTAAGTGTTGTTGGCACACAGCTAGGGATGTTATAATTACTGCTTCTTCACAGTACAGTACAGCACAGTACGGAATAGAAGCACAAATGTGCTTCCAGAACGTTACCCCCAAAGACCTGTGCTTTGAGCCCTTCTCCTTATAATTTCTTGTTTGGGGTTTTTGCCAATGTCCAAACAGATGAAATCCAGATACTTTGCTGACCCAGTCTCTTGTCAGGGAAGATATCCCACTGCCTGTCCTCACTTGATGCATATTTTACATTCCTTATTGATTTGTAACCCAGTCTATCTCATTTTGCTGCCAGTTTGTGTAAGCACAAAAAATAAAAAAATATGTATATATAATACTATCCTAAGACAAGCACAATTGGAAGGTTAACTCTGAAAATCATGAAATGTCTGATAATACGAAACAATTGTTCTTACTTTTTATTATCTATGCTACTAATCATGACTATTACTAAGGATAGTGGAAATATGATTATACTCTGACAATACTCTGACAATGATTATACTCTGACAAGGCTTGTGTCTAAGCCTGATAAATTTCTGAAAATTGAACCGGTATTAAAAAATAGAAAATCCAAATTGTCAGGTGGTTTTTTGCCTTGTAAGTTTAGAAATGTAATTCATGTTATTAGTTTTGAATATTCCATTTTAATAGATGAGGGGAAACACTGGATATAGTGATACCTTTTCATTATCTGAGCTACATGTGTTTCAAAATAAAACACAATGCAGCAGAGGCAATAATTTAACATGTACCCAAAACTTATTTGCTAATAATTGAACCTTGAAACTGGAGTTAAAAGTATCTGCTAAAACAAAACTTCTTAGGTTTTTGTTGCAGGAAATGGAGTGTCTAGTTTGAAGTACAATGAAAATCATGTTCTTGAAGAATGTGATAATAGCAGGCAATACTCAACTTGACTAATGCGAACTATTTTTATAGTTAAAACTTTGAAGAATGTTTATATATTAGAAGATATATATACATACACACAGACACACACTAAAATCATCATCAAACAAACAGAAAAATGCTCTCAAAGTACAAGATAATTTTTTTCCTAATTGAACTAATACACTGTAGTTACAGTGCGTATTTTTTTCACTTTATTTTATGCTTTGTTGTACAGTGCAATAGATATACATTAGTATGTGGACATAAATGGTATGTGTGTGTGTGTGTACACTTGCTTCAGTTTTGTGATGCAGCATTCAAAGAGGCATAACCTTTGGCACACCAGCAAACCTGTAAACTGGGTGTCAACTAATCACATTATCTTTAGAGCTAACTATTGACCACTCCAGGCAAAAGAAACACCACTGTTTTGCTTATCTTTGTGTTCAGTTCCAATTCTACAGAGTTTTACCAAAGATCAGATGGATTAAAATGGCCTTCCTTAATGGAAAGTAGAATACTGAGGCTTTTCATCAGAGGCTCTTGCTGCTGAAGAGGAATGTAGGGTTCCATTTAGCATCTCCTTGAAAAGGAGTCAAGAAACAGGGCTTGCAACTTCTTGTTTGCCACTTGTGTCATTTCCTGTGTGTTCTGCATCAACCTTAGCCAGTATTCTTGAAAGAAAAAGAAATATTTTAGAGCAATGAAGGAGTTAAGTTGTGGAAAAGACCTAAAGCCAGATTTAAGGAAGGGAAAACATATATATCAAGTATATATAAATGGTAGAGTAGGGTTGGAAAAGTCTCTATGAAGACGGATTGAGGCCCCAGGGCCTGCTTTCAGAAAATTAAATGAAAATATGAAGAAACATTTTCACCACATGAGAGAAAGTGAGCTGATCTTGGGGACGGGAGTAGGAGCAGGAACAAACATAGGACATTTTTCATCAGTTCAGCACCTCAGGATTCTGTCAAGTCCTGCTCTACCCAATTTTTTGTAATGAAGCAATTGAGAAAAAGGTCTTTAACATTTTTTTTCTGTGACTTTATCTCTCACAAAGGAACAACAACAACAAAAATCTTTGTCTGGATTTGAGGATAAGTTGATTAGTTCTCCAATGTGATTGCTATATAAGCCCATATATTTTTAAAAAATAACCTTTAAATTATTTTAAATATAAAACTGTGACATGAATGTGACAAAGCTTTTAGTTTACAACATGTCGTGAATAGAAAGTGAAAAATATTTATTCATTTTGTCAAATAAAAATAATCTTAGTATAATAATATGTTTTTCCAAAAAGGTGGGGCTAAATGTAAATTATATGTGGATGTTTCTGTTCAATATGTACATTACTTAAAAGAAAGGCAAACAGAAAATTATGTGGTTTTCACATTCTCCATATTGTTTATATTCACTATTATGAGAGCTGATAATGAAATACCAAGCACTTTAGTTTTATACAAACAGATGATCAGGAGGTGTTCTAAATCACTGAAAATGTATAATATGGTTGGCATTCTTTCAAATTAATGTCATAACATGTTCTTTTCCTTCTTTCTTGTTTTGTTATAAGTTTTTGTGTAAGAGTTAAATCAAGCTGATTAAATCATTTCAGTACCATAATGGGAAAGCAGAGAAGAGAGGATTAGCTCATCATGCAGGATGAGTTAGGTCATAGTTTATCCGACCATAATTCAAATGCTGTGCTTTCCAAGTCTGGAAGTTATGGCTATGTCAAATGTTAGTGCCAAAATGTCTTTTATCATAAAAGACAACTGCTTATTCCTACAGTTGGCCGAGCTTTCGTTGGTTAGGTAGAACCAGTAAGGTATATAGGTGTTTTAAAACTCAAGATTGTCTTCAATCTCTGCCTTTTATTTTATTTTTTTTAATTTTTTTTTCAACGTTTTTTATTTATTTTTGGGACAGAGACAGAGCATGAACGGGGGAGGGGCAGAGAGAGAGGGAGACACAGAATCGGAAACAGGCTCCAGGCTCTGAGCCATCAGCCCAGAGCCCGACGCGGGGCTCGAACCCACGGACCGCGAGATCGTGACCTGGCTGAAGTCGGACGCTTAACCGACTGCACCACCCAGGCGCCCCGACTGCCTTTTATTTTTAAAAATAACTGTATTAGTTTGTATTAGACATACAGTGACATTTTTCTTAAGAAAAAATCAATTTATCATTATATCTCTCTTTTAATAGCTATAAACAGAAGTAGAATCAATGTGAAGCGTAGAATTGTATTTGAAATAAGACTTTGGTTAAAAGAAAATGAAGGAAAGATTTATAGCAGTGTTATTCAAAATGTGAGTTCTGACCCACTAATGGGTGGTGAATTCAATTTAGAGGGTCTTTGACAGAATTTTAAGGATGAAATAAAAGAGAAGACAATAGGTTAACATAGAAAAGAAAAATTGGGGCAATTATGGAACCTACTAGTAATGAGAAATGGGGTGGGGGGAATAAAAGGATTCTGCTGGATTAATAGGTAAATTGTTTTTCTTATTTTTTCTTACCCTTGGCCTTGAGCAAAAGTAGTCTGTAATTCATTAGTGTAGATTAAAGGGGATGGATTTTCCAGCTGCAGAACTCTAAGCTCGTAAAGTGGGAATATTGTAATCTACCTCACAGAGTTAAGGTGGGAATTAAGTGAAATCATACATGTTAAAGCCTCCGGCTTGATTCCTGCCACATGTTAGACACTCAATAAATGAATGATAGAAGTAATTTCATAATCCATTAGATTATATGCATGGCTATCTTGAGATGGCTAGAGGAGAGGCCAGGTACTCCATCAAAGTTATTCATCAAAGGAAATAGACAAGAGCAAGAGATGTGGTTAGGTTAGGTTCATAGAATTGTATTTGAATGGGATTATTCCCTCCATTCTAGTAACTCCTGGTTGATTAGGAATCTAGTACATTCAGTCCATTAACCATTTCACCCAAGCACCTCTTGTTTGCCAAATGAACCTTAAAAGACAATTGGGACTTGCCTTCAGGCCATGTCAGATACACATGATCTGGTTTCACAGGCTTCTCTGTGGAACTAACCATTTATGTAAACAAGTTTCAGTACAATTATCACCAGCCAGATAATCTACAATCATCAGCTGTTGCAAACAGGCACTGAGTTCACTACCCTCTTCTTGGAATAAGCACAGTGAATGGGTTTCAGAAATAAAGTGTGAACCATATTAAAACTAAAGTACAGTCATATGTTCCCACCTCTCTAATTAAATGTCTGTCATGTTTAAGCAGATTTTTGTTTATGCTCCCTTTCTTACTCATGGGCAGATTTCTTGATAGGAAAAAGGATGTGTTGGAAAAAGGATGTTTTATTCACGGTGCTGGCAAATATTTGACATAAATATGAGTTTTTATGAGTGAATGAGTCCTGATTATCAACATATAAATCATATTGTGACAGACTCAAGTTTCTTCTTCAGTTTTTTGTGAAAGGCCAATTTTTTGTATCTCCTTCGCTGATTTATAGCTGTCAATTCCTAAAGCACAGAAAGATGGAAGAGGAAAGTAGTTATTCATGCATTCAAATACACCTACCAGCTTACCCTGGACAAGAGGATTTGACCCTAACACCCTCCTGTAGGCAGGCAGAGCAGTCCCCGTGTCCCTGAATCCTGAAGAACTCTGCACTATTTACAACAATCATAGAAAATGTCTGACTCTGCTCTCCTAGAGTTCCAGAGAATTTGGTTATTATATAACCTAAAAATATATAGCTCTTTCCATTGTCTTTGCATTATCTATTTTCTTAGTTGTTGTTTTTCTTTGAAAGCAGTGTGGATATTTTTATGAATATAAAGACAAATATGTTTTTTCCCCAGGTTTGAGAATGAATAAAGGTGCCATGACCCCACCCCGTACTTCTCCTGCAAATTCATGTTCTCCAGAAGTAATTCATCTGAAGGACATTGTCTGTTACCTGTCTCTCCTTGAAAGAGGAAGACCCGAGGATAAACTTGAGTGTATGTGTTTCTTTATTTAGTTTACTTCTCACAATAGTGGGGAGGAGGAGGGACTAGATACTGATGAATTGAAAATTGTATTTACTATGGTTATCTAAATTTTCATTAAATGAAGTGGCCTTGGTTAAGAAATAAAAATTCTTTCAAGTGGGAATCAAAGGATATTGTGAATATATTAAGATTCTTATCAAGTTCCATTTATTATTACAGAGTATTTCATTAGCATGTTGGTCTGTCAGATGACTTGTTCTTGACTGTCCCTCAGTTTGGTAACATGATGATACTGGAAAGTGTCATTTGAATTGTTTTGAAAAAACACCTTTATTTCTAGGATATGAGGAGGTCTTCCTCTTAGTCAGCACCAAGCACATACAACCTGAGCCTTTCTCTCATGGAAATCTTTCTTTGAAACTTCACCACTAACACTTTCTGTGCCAGGAATAAATGGTTTCTCAGGTGCCAAACACCTGAAAGTTTCATATATAGGAGTTGACTGTGGATGTTGTAAATAAACATAGCTGTGTTTGGTTTTTTCCACAATGTAGCAGGTGTTTCAGATAGAGATTTTCTATCTAGGTGAAAAGGAGAGAAGTGCTGTCTTTAATAAAGCGCAGTGTGTGAGCTCTCTCTGGTGGCAAACTATACTCATTGCAATGCAAGATATATTTTTTCAAAGATTTACAATAAGCCTGAACGTTTAATAATCTGGTCTGTCTCCAAAGCCCCTGCTAAACATAGAGCTGGTAGTTTGTTCAATAATCCAATAACTTGATTATATTGGATAGTGTTAAAATAAATTAAAGTTCTTGCGACTGAAATGTTAGTGAAGATAACAAATCCTAAATTTGAAATTTTCAAGCAAATATAGACCATAGTGATGTTTCAGAATTATGATTTGAAAGCATGTTTAGTTAAATCTAATAGTAACATGTTGATAATATTTCTCTTACTAATAAAGAATTAACTATAATATGACTAAGTCATACCTGTCTAAGTTATAAACTGTATTAGGAGTCTTTAAATACGTATTTATTATTCCTAAATGTGGAATATTTGCATTTCAAGATTTATTTGTATTCCTAAAGACATACATAAATCTTTCACATTCCAAAATAAATATTAATGTTCAGGGAATTTCTCTTGAAGTGACAGCCAAGGAGAAAGTTTGCTCAGGTGTTGTCAGGTCCGTGTTTGGGATGATTTTAAAAATATACAGGCAAATCCTTTCTTCCAGGTCTGAGACTAAATGAAGGCACCATCATTCCTCTTCAACATGCTATTTGTGTTGGAGTTTAATTATTTTTATATCAACTGGAAGCATTTTGTTTTTAAGGTAGAATTCTTAAGAGGTGTGCTTTTAAGTTCTCACATTGAGTTTATGAATCAAACCGTCTTTGTCTACAACTGCAGTCAGAATGTTAACCCACAAGTCATTCAAAAACACTTGATGAATCAGGTCAAACCTGACCTGCCACTTACCTTTCTTCACTGTTTTCAACCTCCTTTACTCTGTTCTTTCTTCAAATTTTCCAGCTCTTTGTCAAGCATTTGTCAGATTCAGTTGCCTTTGCCTTTTTTCTTAACTGTTGCTTCAGACTCTTGTCTTAGTGGGAATTTTTAGAGCCTGGCTCTATCAGTATGATTTTCATCAGTCTCTTCGAAATAGATGAATGTCGATTTACGAATATATGAAGATTCTGCCTCTGTCCCTGCTACACTCAAGTTCTCTGCTCTACTCCTCTGATTTGGAGGAACTTAACTTGATCCTTAATTATCTGGAATTTGTTTTTTGTCTGTTTTGTTTGTTTGTTTGTTTGTTTTGCTTTGCTTTGCTTTGTTTTGTTTGTTTTTAATGCCAGTGCCTGGCCCTTTTCTACCTCTGTTAAGTCAGAATCCATTCCTCTTACCCACTTTCATATCAATGGACTGTACACTCTTTTCCTTCTACAATTAAACATTGACATATTCTCAATATTCATGTAGTCTTCTAGAACTACAGGTTTGAAAAATATTTTCCGTAATACTTTAAAGAAATTTAATGGTGGTTAATTTAACATACACTTATTTCCAAAAGGGTTGTGACTTATTAAACACAATATAAACTAGAGGAAAGAAAAAATAAGTATGTTGACAATAAATAAATATGGGCAAGCACCTAATATAATTCATTTTTGCTGGTAAATGCTGAACTTGGATCTTAATTTCTAAGTAGCTAAACAGAAAGGAATACACGCACATTCACTTAGGCCAGAAGTTAAACTTTATCACACATAAGAATTACCTGTAGGACTTAGGAACATACAGCTTATTCCGAGCCCCAGATTCAGTGTAGGTGCTTCAGCAGGCTTGGTGTGCGCCCTTAGAATTTTCATGTATAACAAGGCTCCACATAGTGCTGATGTTGCTGCTTCAGGGACCACATTCTCAGGAACACTGGCTTATGCAATTCCTCCGTCCAATGAAGCATATACACACACACACACTTTCTCTGAAGGAAGGACCGTTTCTCAGAACTGCTGAATGGTGACAGTATTTGGTAGGCTTCTTTCCCTGGGTTACTACATAAAATAATGACATGGTTGTAAATGTTTCTAAAAAAGATATTTTCCCCCAAAATACTGTTTTATAAATCTATCCATCACTTACTATCACCTCCCATCTTCCTACCTGTCTTTTTTTGCCAGGCATTTACACAATGTTTAGAATAAAGATTATTTTTTTCTTTGAAAGGAAATAGACAAAAGTCCTCGAACTTTCCACCGATTATGTCATTTCTTCAAATTACTTTGCCTAGTCCAATCATGTTTTCTCACTGAGAACTTTGCTTATTCTGAGGCCCTATCAAGTAGATGGCATTTATTCACCTGCTGCTGTAGAAGGTATATGTGCATGTGCACGTGTTTTTGTGTAAATGTGTTCAGGTTGTGGGGAATTCCATTTTTCTCTTTCTTTGTCGGTGCTACTTACCTGCCATCCTGATGTGTGGAATAGGAGCATTGTACCACAGCTGTTTTGCCCTCCTCACCTTAAGTCAGCTACAATACTTTGTGGAGAGTCATTCAGTATCTCCCTCTGTTAGTTTCTTTGCCTTCCTCGAATTCTGTGATTTCAACTCCATTTTATTTCAGTCTCCCACATCTGCTGCAATACCACACGACTTGTAATTTGTAAAGACTGGTTTTATTCTAAAATTTTAAGCTCTAACACTTTACTTTGACCCCAGACTATGATCACTTAACTTCCCCCTCTCGTACTTTTAATTTAAACATAGCATAGCACAGTACTGAAAAGCCTAGACTCTTGATTTCACTAACTGAATGCATCCTAGCTTTAACACTTATGACTGCCTGGGGCACATTTTATGAAACAAAAACCTCTTGAGGCCTTAGTTTCTCCAACTACAAAATTGGAATCATAATAATATCTATCTCATATGTTTGCTATAAAGATTAAATTAACGGGGCGCCTGGGTGGCGCAGTCGGTTAAGCGTCCGACTTCAGCCAGGTCACGATCTCGCGGTCCATGAGTTCGAGCCCCGAGTCGGGCTCTGGGCTGATGGCTCGGAGCCTGGAGCCTGTTTCCGATTCTGTGTCTCCCTCTCTCTCTGCCCCTCCCCCGTTCATGCTCTGTCTCTCTCTGTCCCAAAAATAAATAAACGTTGAAAAAAAAAAAATTTAAAGATTAAATTAACCAATGTTTGCTCACATAAATTCCTTCACATTTATTGGTTCACATAAATGTTTGTTAAGTGCAATTTAAATAAGTATTCTTGTCTCTTAACCATTTCCCTTCCTCCTGAATTTGCCTGCTGCTTTTTTGGAAACCATCCCTCCATAATCTATGATGCCAGTCATTCTTTGACACTTAGTTTTGGGCACCCAATTTATTTGCTTATATATGGTGATGGCAGAGATTTAGTAAAATAAAACTATAATTCTACAGATTATAACTCTACTCAAAACTTCAGCTGGCCTACAGTGCCCTCAGTGTTTCTCTCATCATCAACTTCTTCTAGTTAAGTTGATCCAGATGCTTCATTTTTCCAACACCTACGTATTTAATCATCATCTTTAGGTGTGAATTCTTATAACTTTGTTTCATCTTACGTAAAACTGGTCAACCTCTAGACATGTTCTTCTTCCTCTTCTTCTTCTGAATGTGTCCCTTTGACAGTTCCCCATTAAAAATACATAAACTTAAGCCCTAAACTTAGAGCTATAAACTGATTTGACTCTACAGTTTCATCCCAACCTAGTTGGCCAGTCTTGCGTTTAGCTTTGACCTACATTTACATGCACAGACAACGTCCTAGTCACATAGATCTACTTTTCAGTCACCAGACAAACCCAAACTTTTTCATATTTATACCTTTGCTTATAATGTGCATTTGCTGGGAGTGCTCTTTCTCAATGTGTATCAGATCCACTACAGTATACACTTGAGGCCCAGCTCATGTTATGAATTCTCTGGCTAACTCCTAATTGGATTCATTTTGCTTGTACACTTATGCTGTGTAACTTCCTACCCTAGCACCTACTCTGTGTGTGTGAGTGTGTGTGTGTGTGTGTATTTCAACAGACAGATGATCAATGAATGATACTTAATTGGAATTGTGTTGAAGTCAATGGGTGTTTGAGAAGAGAAAAAAACGTGAATTATTTAAGTCATGGAATGATGCTAAAATTCATTTATACTGCATTTTTAAGACACATTATATTTACATTAGGATTGGTATTTATAAATTGTTAATGACTTAAGGAATAATTTTTGTTAGCTTACATTTAATTAAAATGTATCACTGAAGAGAAATACAAAATACAGTTACAAAATACAAAAATAACCACAAAATAGATCATTGACACACAAATAATGAAGAATAACCTGTATGTTAAAGTTGTTGCCATGTATAGTATTAATCTTAGAACGATTGGATTTAACACTGAAGAGACCCTAAAGATCAGTTAGTCATTCTCCCTGTAGAGTCAATGAAAAAATTAAA